CGGCATTTTTCTAGATGCCATTGGCCAGACAAATTATCAGTCTTTAAGCAAGCCCCTGCCTCCTTTTTACTTTTGGTGTTGCTAGCATACGGAATATTTGCTGCTTTGGGGTTACGGCGAGTAAGGGCAACAATCTTGTGCTAACGTGTAAGCTTTCTTTTCAATAAAGTTTTGTTTTGCAATATTGAGTCACTGTTAAGTGAGTATAGCTGGGGTAGTTTCCTAGGTGTTCAAACGTTGAGACGATTTAATGTTGTGAATTAGTAAATGTTGTGAAGTAAGTGAGTACGATCGAGTCAAAAAAGTGTATAGAATAATATACAGTTTAAACATAGTGTTGCAGTATGAAGTTGCTAACAGAGTTTTACATCTGATTTTTTCAAGTGCATAATCTTCAATGCAATAACATAACACAGTGCAAAGTTAGAAAGTACTCTCACCGATCGAGGTATGTCATCTTGCTCCGACAGTCCACATTGACCAAAAATTGGTATTACTCGGCTGTCGGAGGACCGAAAATGAAATCTATATTCATGAAATGCCATATTCTGCTAGGCTATCAAAAAGACAACCGCATGCGGCGAGGCTATAGTCTGTCGACTGGTGCGCATACATTTTAGCCACCAATACAACGCTCACTGAGCGCGGTTCTTTAAGTCTGGCATCACATGCTCCGCTCCGCACGACTATGGTCAAATATATCATCAAAAACGTTTTTTTGTAAGTTTTGCTTGATATGACGGTACATTCTAGAAATTGAATTTTGCACCAAAACATTTGCTTATTCGGCGTATTAAAGCATACACAATTCGACATTTTACCTTAGCCTTTCTGATAAAAAGTCGGCGTCGACTATGTCTCTCACCAAATTCAATTCGTGCTTTGCACAGCCATCCGAACGATATCATCTTCAATCAGTTCTAACTGTTCGAAACGTTTGATTAACATGTAGCTCACCTTTTCATATTTCCAACTAATAACCGACTTGCGATAGCTACAAGCTTGCCGTATCGTGGTACATATTTCTGTCAAAAGCTAAATTTCGTCAGCAAAAACTTCATCTTTGACCCATTTCTCGTGTTCAACTTCAGCTGAAGTCGAGTGTGTGATAATTGTATGAATACATAATATTACAAAAAACAGCGGTTTCACTTAAAACCACTGGTGATATCTGCGTTTTAAGGGTAGATATAGATCGAATCTATATCTTTTTAGTTAATATTAATGAATATACGTTTTGACATTTCTTATACAGTGCTGACCAAAAATATGTAGCCACGACAAATTCTCAAG